TTGGAGCTTTTGATACGTCTTTATTGCTATGTCTTGCTCAGTTCTATCATTTGGACTTCAGTACTGTAGAGTTTTTATTACTTCATCCTCAACTTGACAAGTTTCTTATGCTTGTAAGAATGGGCGAAACTTTCTTTAATCTCAATAGCATATCTTGTGTAGCTAAGAAGTTGGTTGAAACTGGAAGTTACTGTTATTTTTCGTTGGTTTATAAGCTGATCACTTTGGTTTTGATATTACACGTGGCAACTGCAAATGTTGAAAGTATATTTTCTACTATGAATCTAATCAAGAGTGAATTGCGCAACAAAATAGGAGATGACTGGTTGAATGACAATTTGACGGTTTACGTGGAAAAAGATATTTTTATAAAACTTGAGAATGAAGCAATATTGTAACATTTTCAAAATATGAGACCCTGTAGAATGCAGTTGTCTAAGTTTACAGTTACTGGTCTCAGTCAACGGTCTTCGCCCTAGCTGAATTATAATGCTGGATTCGCCCCTGATCTGGAACATCATATACCATCTTGGCCAGCCATTCAAGTCTTCAAAGTTCACAGCAGCCATAATCTTACTTTGTAACTTGAGTAGCCAATATGCTTTGAAAGGCACCGAGAAAATAATTAATCCAATGAGAAGAATCAACCTGATAAGAACATCAAGATGATGCATTGTGGAGAGAGGATCTCGAGTCCTCATCAGTAATGAGCTATTGTACTCGAGCCTTCCTCAGTATTCCAGTTGATTCCTCGAATGTCATGAGTGTACTAGCACTCCTTTCAACCTTGTGAACCATGAGCTGGTGATGAGTATGCTTAAGCATCTCTGTGATGCTTTCGGTTGCAGAGGTTCATTCTGTAGATTTCGCCTGGGAATTGTAGACTCTTCTACACCTTTCAGAAACAACTCGCTCTCTTTTCGAGCAGCCTTTTTCCATATTTTCTTTGCTTGCAACTTAGCAATTCTTGGGCTTAGTCAAAGACTATATAAACCTCCACTGCTATCTATATCTGATTGTGTTCAACTAACTCGATGTTCGGGAACAAGATTCTCATCTGTGTACGTGGTCTTGGCTTTCATAGTATCGACCACAGGGTTGGTGACCGCCGCTGCCACCTTCATTCAACTCCAATTTTAAAATCAAGACATAACTCGTAAATGTCTTTTCAATTAAGACACGACCATTAGAAAAGGTTATTCAAATGAGAAATGCTATTTGTACACTGAGGTGTCAACCCGGGTGTACAAGTAGCACTGCCCTCTTCAAAACTTCTCTTTATTTCAACATGGCAAACTTTAATTTGGAACAGATGACAACCCAAAAATGGAACAAAGAAAATTCTTATCTCCAAGAAACATGTTAACCATATTTGATTACCCCATCCTTTTTGCTTTATTTCGAAAGGAAAACCATTAGATTTAAGTGTATCTTCAAATTAAAAACAATAGGATTCACAAGTTTAATGAATTTTTTACATATGAAATAATAATTGTAAAATATAGAACTAGTAAATACATATAGGTTTGTTAGTTTTTAAATTTAAAGAATATATTAAAAATAATGTAAAAAGCCTCACCTTTTTGTCTCTCTAGATATAAAGAAAAAAATTAAAATATTTGATATAGTAAAATTCCCAAAACTCACCAGAAATCGTCGCCCAATACAATTTTTCCACCAACACACTTTCACAGCCATTTACCCCAAATAGCGAAATAAAAATAAAATAAAATACTTGCCTGCAATAATTTCCAGTGGTAAAGGTTTATGGTCACATGAGATCCAATACAATGAAAGAAAACCATTATGGTACTAAAGTAATTAATTATTTATATTACCTCAAAGTTAGCTTTCTATACTATAGCTTAATTTTCTTGAAAGAAAGATTTGACTTACTACAAATATTTTTTTTACACAACCGAACTCGGCAAAAGGAATCTACAATTCATTCAAGAAACATCACTGCAGGTAAATTTGCGGTTTAAAATTGTCAATACAAAGCAATCCTTGAAACAAAATGGGCAACTTTCCTTCCACACGTGAGTGTAAATCATGACGACATAAGTAATCACAAGACAACAATCGACTCAATACCAAATTTCCAAGAATTATTGGATAACGATTACCAACATATTGTATTAAGAGGGGGTAATGATGTATCAGACTTGTAGGTATGGGAGGTGAAGAAAGAATATCTTTTGGAAATTTCTCTAATAGCCAGCCATCTTAGTCAAACGATGAATGGTACTTCTAGCAACTCTATTGCCAGGATCGAGTTTCATAACAGTCCTGAGGTCCTCTGCCCCAAGCTTGTATTTCTCCATGCTCTCGTAAAGAAGAGCACGTTGTACGAGGACAGATACATTTGAGTCATCCTGCTCCAGCACCTGCACAGGATAATGCAGCCTATGAGCTTTTTATTTATTTTTTATTTTTTATCCTGATGAGCAATGCAATGCAATGCCAATGAAATGATGCCACAACACAAAAGCAATTGGCAACATATTAGGTCATCCACTAGCTGTTTCTTCCATTGCACAGATCAAATCTCATAAACTCCTTTTGAGACACAACAAATAACAAATATAAGAGCGGCATTTGATTAAAATTACAAATAGGATAATGTAAGTAGTTTGACACTAAATTTCAATGTGCCAATTTGATTGGTACATACATATTCTTGAGGGCAGAGCTAGACACGGAATTGCAAAATGCACAAAGAAAAATAACAACAAAATGAAATGGGAAGGGCAAGATCTGCAGAAACATGTCCTAATTTGGACTGCCACCCAGCAGCCTCTTTCTCTATATCTGATGAGCAAGCACGCAGACAACTTGTACACACTCAGACACAGTCCTCTGTCCTCTCACCCCGTCCCACACATGTACTCGCCTGTGCAAATATACAAATAGAGCATGTTGGAGTACACAATTGAGGTGGTGATAGAGTTGATATTTACTTGCTGTGGCGATGATTAGATCTTGAAAGGAGGAAGAAGGGTGGGGCGGGGGGTCGATTTTAGGAGGGTTTCTTTAATTTTCTCTAGCATATGCTCTGTTGGACATTGGGGGATGGATGTCGGAGGGGGGTGCTGCTACCAATGGTTGAGGCTGTGAGCCTGCGATGCTGTCATGCCCTTCATCTTCTCTTTTACTTTTAAGTAGGTAGAAATTTTCTGGGTGTCAATCATGTCATGATAGATTCGAGAATTTGTCATCGGAGTTGGAGGAGAGATGTGATCTATATTGTGGAGTAGATTGATTATGTTGTTGCATAGAGAGGTACCACACTGGTTGGTGGCAAGAGTGCAAAGAAAGAGATGCAAGGTGGTGTTAAGTCGGCAGTGGCTGCCTGCACCTTCTGATAGCATTGTGGTCTGTCAGGTTATGGAGGGCACAACATGGCCGATGACAAATGAAAGAAAAATGCATTTGTAGGAAATAAATTTGAGGAAATCATAAATGTTGATACATCAGCAAGAATGACCAATATGTCCAATATTTCCAAGGAAAATGTTCACAAAGGGGCACATTGACCAATTATAAAAGCTAAAACAGGAAGACAGAGACAAAATTAAACATTGCAGGTAAACTGAACCTAGTGAAATTTAGTGATCTGGTAAAAAACACACTTTACACTTTACAAAATTGCTTGTAGAAACAGCAACGATAGATTTCAAAAGAAAGCTTTATCATCTCTTTTAAGTAAAGAGTGATAATATTTTTACAGTTTAAAAGTAAGCTCTATAGTGTCTCTTCACAATATAACCATTGATGTCAAAAGAGCAAAGAGATTGAGTTGACAATGAAGAATCTCTACAGCATTCATTCTCCAACAATACTAATAGTTTAACTTTAAAATTGTAAAAGCCTTTCGTTAACATTAGCAATCTATACAGAACATCTTCTAAAAATCATAGCATGACTAATATTTAAGGTTTTCAGAATAATATTTCATGAAGCAACAATTAGAGCCAACATAACTTCAAATCAAGCAAAAATTATATCCTCTGATTTCAAATTCTCAGCTTCAATCTAATTGTCGGGTCCCATAGACATCAAAAATTAATTCGATAAACAGAAATTAGGAAATGACATGGTTAACAAAACAATCAAACCTTTGTGCAGTCAGCCACAGCCTTTTTGTACTCCCCAACTTCCTTGTAACATGAAGCTCTGCAGGTTAAAACCTCTGTAGTCCCATCATTGTCCCCGGCCTTTTCAAGAAGAATGACAGCCCAAGACAACCATTTGATAGCATCAGCATACTGCCCCTGCTTAAGATTATCCATACCCTTAGTCTTTGCAGCTGAACCAGTAAATCCGGCAGGTGGGGGTGGAAGCCCTTCAATCTCAGTGGTCCCACCAGTATCGTGCCCTCCAAATTCTGAATCCATACCCCAATCATCACCCCCTGAAAACTGCTGGCTCTCAAATCCTTGACCGTGGTTTGCGCTGCCACCGGAAGAAGAAAATAATGCATCAAAATCATTTACCCCCACAGATTGCCCTGATGGCTGACTTTGAGCCTGAGGCTGAGGATTTGAAAACCCAAAATCATCCATTGGATCAGTATTAGTCGTAGGAAAGGCACTCGATGGAAATGAAGATCCACTTGCTTTTGGAGCCACATTTTTAAAATCCCCAAACTCATCCTCAAGACCGCTCTTCTTGCTCCCTTTATTCTCAGATTTCATACCACCAGTTGGCTTAGAGCTGAAATCAACCAAAGATCCAAAAGGGTCCTTATTTGAACTCATACTGCCACTTCCTGCCATACTCTTCATAGATGGACCACCTAGATTTGAACTCTTAGCAGTATTCCCACTCAAATTCACATTCCCACCACCAATACTCGAACTCTTTAGATAACTTCCACCCCAATTCATAGTTCCACTGCTATTACTAACATTAGTCCCCGACCTTCCACCATTGTTCACAGAACTGTCCATTCTGGGCAATGAATCAGCCATTCCCCCCATCGAGTACGTGTTCTTATTTGCAGTTGGAGCTGCGTTTTTCAATGGCACGTTGGTGCTGTTCTTGTTGCCACCTATTGCCGAGCTCACTAAATCTCCAAACAAATTCGGGTTCTTACTATTCACAATCCCGATACCCGAGCCACCAGAGTTCATCGGAGCCGAAGAGTTCCAGCTCTTCCCAAAAATATCTCCCACCATGGACGTCGGGCCGGACAAAGACCCAGATCCAGTAGACTGGACGGGATTCACCGGTTTATGGGTCCATGCCGGTGTCGTACTCGGCTTCGAGTACGCAGATGAATACGTATACGAGGTGGACGAATACGAGGAAGTTTGTTTTTTCTGATCGTTCAAAGTTTTGGGGCGTCCCGTCCCGATTCCAAGATCGAAATCAAAAGCATTCATTGAGCCAGACTTGTTATTATATTTTCCATGACTCGAATTCATCCTTACTTCCTAGTTATTTTTTGTGGGTTTTTGATTTCTTGATAAATGAAGAAAACTTAAAAGGAAATTGATCAAAGAAAAGATCTGTAAATATATAGCAGATCAGAAAGAAGGAAATTGGAAATCGAGAAAAAAACCGTACCTGATTAGATTATTATCCGATTTTTCTTTGTTCTTTTTACACAATAAACATTTGGATCTGAGATAAAGGGGTGGTGAAAATCCCGTGTATTGAAGAACCTCGATCTTTCTGTGCCCGGAGCTATAAACAAGCCGGTGATGGGGTTTTTCTAGGATCCACAATTCTTCCAAAATTTAGAAGATGGAAAGAATGCTGACATGATTTCAAGGTAATTCGGGGAAATGTATAAAAGGGTAAAAGTAAAAGTAGATCACGGACACGGGGTGAGGGGGGAGGTGTATTTTTTCTTTAAAATGGAATTTTTTAATAGTAAATTTTTTTGATAATGTATAATTGAAAAGTAAGCCCTTATTTGATCCTATTATTTTTAAAATACATTTTTTTTTCTAATCACACATTTTTTAATAAAATAATATTACACGTAAATTCAATTTTTTAAAATTTTTTAACCACATATTTTTTATCAATATACTATTTTAAAATGTATTTTTAAAATAAAAATGGGATTCAAACATGCACAATTTTTTTTTTTTTTGATTTATGTGCAAACATTTTTATTGAGAGAATGTGATATTGAAAATAAATAAATAAAAAAAAAGAGCTTTAAGAGAGTGTGGCTCAAACATGAGGGAAAATTGGGGTGGCAATTAGGGACGTCTCAGGTCGAGGGGCCATGCCTTCACTGTTTGACCATCCAAAAATCAGATCGATTCAAGTAGGGTCATAAGTTGGCCGCTCAAAATAGGTGGATTATGTCGGGTTGAACAACTTACTTTGAGGACCGATTTAGTTGAACCAATTTATTAGAATCTTTAGAAAGTAATTTTCGAAAAACAATGGTTTGAAGATGCCCATATGTACTATCGATAAATCTAAATCCATATACTCCATAAATTTAAAAAGATGGTCTATAATTAACTTGAACAATATTTTCATGACTGGTTCAAAGTTCAAAATTGACTTGCTCAACCCGTTTGACATTGCTAAGCAATTGCCAATGAGGCTTAGCAAATGGAAGTAAATTGACTTGTGTCAATGCTTTGTTATCTCAAGATTAAAGAATTTGTTGCTACTAAATTATACTTTACCTTTAAACACAAGTACATAGGCTCAATGACAGTGTAGATAGTTAAACTTATAATAATGGTTCTTAAAAGTGTAAATAGTGACTAAATGGTAATGTCAAGTTTCAAGTTTTTACGAGTATGGACATAAAAGAAGTAAATCGTGACAAGACAATAAAGTAAAGTTTTATATCTGATTGCACTTTTTAAAATAGAGTAATACTGTTATTTTAGGTGACAACTAAATGACATTAAACCCCTGTTTGAGCCATATTAAAATTTTAATTTTAATTTTTATACTCATTTTCAACCACACATTCTTCAATAAAATAATATTTTCTATCACATCAATAACTTTTTTTTTTTTTTTCAATCACACATTCTCCATCAATTTACTATTCCAAAATATATTCTTCCAAAATAATATGGCTCAAATGATCTATTCATTTAATACAATGCCATATGATTCATTTAATTGAATTGAACCTATAAGTGTGTTTACTTACACTGGTGTTCTAGCATCACTAATTCTAAATAACATTATTCTTTAAAACATGGATGACAATAAATAGAAAATAAAGAGAACAAAATAAGAGTGGGATATTTATGCGCCACTAATATATGTTAAAAGAACACAGGTTCACTAAAATAATGTTTGGTAGAAATTCTAAAAGTATCTATTTAGGTTGCAGCAGAGCTAATCTTTTGTCCACTCTGGACATGATGACAATTGTCCGTCGTAGACATGCCGTCACCACATTAATGATCAAATCGTATTTTTTTGACTTTTCGAAAGAAAAAATGTTTAACCTGTTGATGAGAAGTTCCACATCAACAAGTGTGCATTATAACTCCTACCCATTGTGAGCACGACATCATTTCTATATGTTGTAGATAGTCATAGGATCGGCAATCCAACTAAGTTGTGTGGTCATCTCTTCGGCTCCAAATTCTCAATGTCCACTGATTACACAAATGAAGGAGAAAAGCCATATTTGTTCATAAACTATGTTTAATGTCTTGCAGTTGGTGTGCCAGATAGATGTCAACAGAATCTTGATACAATTCAGTGTTCTAAAAAGTGATGCTTAGGCGTGACACAAGCGCAAAACGTCTCGCTTTCGCGCTTTTTGGCCTTTTTTGTGCCCAATCGCCCCTTTTTAACGTTGTTTCTTTAATTATTAAATAAAAAACATTTTTTTTACGTCTAGGCCTTCCCATTTCGTCACGCTTTACACTTTTTAGAACATTGTATAATTGAAATGCTGCAGAGATCTTCAAGGAACCAAAAAGTACAAACTCTCATATAACTTTAAATTGCAAAATACTTGAATATACATAGTCAAATTTTGTTGAATGTGTTGACACAAGGAAGTCTAATTTAGGACACATTATTCTTCTTGTTATATGAGCAATAAGCAGAATATAATAGCTTGATCATTAGCTAATCTAGGTGGCTGCTTAAGGCTCCGAATTTTAGCAATGTCACTAAATTTTTAAAGTTTAATATTTTTATTTCTTTTAATGTTTCGTACTCTATATCGTAAATTTGATCGTAAATTTGATTGATCATTCTAAACGACAAGTCGCAGTTGTGGGATGAAAATAAAATGATTGACATCTTAGGTGCATACTAGATAAATAGTAAATCGGGTCACGATCATTTCAATTATCACCAAAACCATGGTCCTAAAATATATCCGTGTATGGCTGTATGCTCTCTCTTTCTATCTTTTAATTAGGATTTCAAAATTTATTTACCTTTTTAATTTTTAAAAACAAAATGCAAATACAATATTATTTACCCTTTTAGTCTTGTTATTTGACGTTTTCATTCTTTCTTTTGTTATCAGAAGTTTAAAATTGATAATAACGAATTTATGATTTGATATACTATTTAGGTTAATGAATATAAAAGATTTGAATAGGTTCCCTTGGTTCCTTCTTGCAATTATAATTCGCCTATGATATTTGATTTTTTATACTAAATTTTCGTAGTTTTGAATTAGTATTGCATAATTCCTGTTAAATGTAATCTCATTTTAACTAGATTTACCCTTCTATATGCCAAATTCCTGATGGAACATGATGAAATTCGATAGAAAGCCCTTTCTAAATTGAGAAAAGGGGACTGAACAGGCTCGAACACATTGCTTTGGCCTTGAAAGGACCGTGCTCTGATCAGGATTGGTTGGAGGGGGAGGGAGGGGAGGAGGTGAAGAATACTGATTTAATACTAAAGCTGATAACACTTCATTCCGTAAAACAAAGTGTTAAGACTTCATCTACACTCAAAACTGCGGGGTGACTAGTATATATACAAGTGACTCCTCATTTTTATCATACAAAGGGAGCATACTTAACTATGCGCGCGCGCACACACATCCTATTACATGTAAACACAGTCCAGAAAATAGAGTCTAATAAGCTATAGCTTGAGATTTCTTAGTAAAATCCTCAATCATCAAGCCATCGTGAATCTGCAACACCTCGTGGCAGTTCATAATCTCGTTTGGTTTTGCCCGATAAACGTAAACCTGATGTGGTTGATATTGGTAAAGGTGGGCCTGTTTAGGTTCTTGTGGAACATAAGGTTTTTGTACATTAGCCTTCGCCTTTTTACTGTGGAACACTTCCAGAATATCGAATCCTTCCTTTCCTATTCTTGCAAGATCTGCTTTGGATGACATTTTTTACGGTACTAGAAAGAAGTATGCAGAAGTTACAAAGAAATGTTTTGTGTTAGAAGGCGAAATCTCTTTATATAGAAGCTCAATGTCTACTGGGAGGAAAAAGTAGCTAAGAGAAATCTAAACTAGAGGACTTTGGATACTTATCACGTGAGATTCCTTTCAGATGTGTATTGAGCACTCTTCCAATCCTTATTTTTCAAGAGTAATAGTAATCAGAAAAGGAATTAAAAACGAGCAAAGCACAAATAGATTAATTTATAGTGGTTTACCCTTGTTACAAGAGCTCTATCTATAGGTTTTCAGTGAACTGGAGAGCAGTACAAGTTTTTCATTCCGCCTCTTTTCCACACAGAATATCCCCGCGAAAATTTCTTTGTGTGCAGGAATATTAGTTCAATCTGGTACATGTATAAAATACTCAATAAACCCTTGGTCCCAAAATATGTTCAAGTTAGCCTCTATACAGTATACTAGAAAATTATTTGTGAAGGCAATTCAAGCTCTTCTATGACGTCGAAATAATATAGTTATCATCACTAACACTTGTCACTCCTATTTCTGCCACGTTGTGTAGTGAAAAACAAGATTTTTTGTTCTGATCTTATCAGTGGCTTATCCATGTGCAGATTCTATTTCCAGAAAGCTTTACTAGTCAACTGAGTCAAATTATTCATAATATACTTTATCCTTCACAACTTTGACGGATTTGATTTATCTAAACAAGACCACGTTGACAAGAAACTAGAATTACATTACTACATCAGCGGCATACGGTCAGATGTAATTAGCTCACAAGCAACACAAAATTGTTCACATATTGTTGGTCATTGCTTGCCATTTTCTTGCTGGACTGTGTGGAGCTGATTCGTATATATATATTAGGCCATCTTACAATAAAAATGATTTTAAGGTGTTAGGTTGGAGGGTTTGAGCAGCGTGAGAAATCCTGTATACTTCTTCTACAATATCGTGAAACGTGTTGGAGATAATTACACCGATAATGTGCATATTATATTAATCAAGAACATACCGTGAAATTGAAATATCATTCGATTTACCGAAATTTGATTTGAGAAGACAAAGTAGTGATTACCGACTTCC